GTTTAAAGCAGCTTTTGCCCTCGGTGCACTTGCGCATAGTTTCTCAGGGAGCTTTGCAGGTAGCTTTCTTGAAGCGTCTTGGAGACGTTGCCACAGTTCTTCTGGATTGAGTCTGTCTCAGTTTGTTCTGTTTCTTCATGTCATTCCAGACAGACTGATGATGATCAGATCAGATCTCTGTGTGAAACGGTGATAAGGAGGTAAAGTGAATGATAACACCTGTCTCTAATTCCAGTGATCTGCAGAGAGATGGGATATAAGAGACTGATCACCATGAGAGACTGTTTATTGTTTGTGTGTGTGCCGGTGCAATAGACTGTGGAGGCAGAGAGCCCGGCAGCACTTTAATGTGTTCATTTATTTATTTTTATTAATAATAAAAGATTTACTCGCCACCTCTGACTTTTTTGTCCTTCCTCTTCTTTGAAATGTATTACACACAATGTTCAACCATTGTTCATCAATCTGTATGCATTATAATACAGCCTGACGACAGCAGGCACCACCTGTTCCAATATTCAATTGTGCTGTTCTGTATTGTGTACTATAATTGACAACTGACGAACTATAGGAAACAGCTGCGCAAACAACACTATGCATATGTCTTTTCATTTGCATTGGTTGTGTTTCTCTGAAGCTTGTAATCTCATACAGATCAAAAGCAGAGTCATCAGAGCTGCAGTGGAGATTCTCTATTTCAGCTCACCACAATGTAATGACACTGTCATTTTGAATTGTGTTGTAGATGAAAGCTTTTTATTATTAATTCTGGATCTCTTTTTTTCAGCAGATAATGACATTTTTTTTTAAAGAAATTAATTCATGGCAGAAGATCAGTGCAGCATCACAAACTGCAGGAGAATGCAACATCAGGACAAGAGAGAAAGAAGAAAAATGTCAAACAAAGAGGACAAGAGATAATCTAATGAACCAGGAGAGAAAAAGAGCCTGAGATGAGTCAGACAGAACAGCATTAATAGCGGCAAACCAAATTGTAAGTAGGTATTAACGACAAAACTCTGTCTGTAACATGTCTTTCATCAATACATAATGTGATTCCCTTTCATGGGAACTTCGAACTGCGTCCTCTAGGG